CCGGCCGCTTTCCCGGTTCCAGGTTTGCATCCTGCCTATTCCTTTATTCACTCCTCTTCCCCGGGGCCGCCTGGGGAGGGGGCGGCCGGCGGAGGGGAGCAGGCGCCAGCAGAGGGTCGGACCGGCCGGGATGCGGGATCCGGGGCCGGGATGCCGGATCCGGGCAACATGGTCCGGCCGTGGGGACAGCGCCGAGGTGGTGCGAGGGGAGGCAGTGCAAGGGGCTGAACCTCAAAAAAAAGCATTTATAGATACATATATGCACACACACCTCTCTGTATATCTATTTTAATGTATATATATATATATATACACGTCTGGGGTAGCAGAGGAGGGCACAGCACCTGTCCCGCCCCAGGACCACATTATAAATATATATGTGTGTGTGTATGGATGTATACACACCTATATGTGTGTGTGTGTATATGTGTGTGCGTATATATATATATAAAACGCATATATATGCATCCAGGGCAGAAGGGGTGCCTGTCCCACCCTGGGGCCACATTACATCTGTACGTATGTGTGTACATATATATATGTAGTTATATGTTTATATATTTTACTGTATATTTTACTGCAGTCAAGTGTGTCCAGGACAGAAGGTGAGGGCAAGGTGCTCGTCCCACCCGGGAGCACCATTATATATATGCATACATATATGCATATGCATACATCTATGTATGCACCCCATATATATACATGTTACTGTGTGTGTGTGTGTGCAGGGTGCAGGCGGGCACGGGGCGCCCATCCCGCCCTAGGGCCACACTATATATATGCATACATATAGTATATTCGCCCCTGTATGTATATATATATATGTTACTGTGTGTGTGTGCGGGGCGCAGGCAGGCATGGGGCACCCATCCTGCCCCAGGGCCACACTATATGTATACATACATGTAGCATGCACCCCTGTATATATATGTTACTGTGTGTGTGTGCGCGGGACGCAGGTGGGCACGGGACCCCTGTCCCGCCCTAGGGCCACACTATGTATATGCATACATATAGTATGCACCCCTTTATGTGTACATATATATGTTACTGTGTGTGTGCGCGGGGCGCAGGCAGGCATGGGGCACCCATCCCGCACGGCGCCAGCGCCCACGGGCTCCCCCTGGCAGGCGGCCGCACCATGATGGACCTCAAGGCGGAGGAGGAGGAGGCAAGCGGCGGGCGGCCCGTGAGCCTGCAGGCCTTCGCCAGCAGCTCCACGCTGCACGGCCTCGCGCACATCTTCTCCTACGAGCGCCTCTCGGTGAAGCGCGCTGTCTGGGCGCTCTGCTTCCTGGGCTCGCTCGCGCTGCTCGCCCTCGTCTGCACCAACCGCATCCAGTACTACTTCCTCTACCCGCACGTCACCAAGCTGGACGAGGTGGCGGCCACGCACCTCACCTTCCCTGCCGTCACCCTCTGCAACCTCAATGAGTTCCGCTTCAGCCGCGTCACCAAGAACGACCTGTACCACGCAGGCGAGCTGCTCGCCCTGCTCAATAACAGGTGGGTGCCCATGCTGGCTCCCCGGCCTGTCTGATGGCCACAGCAACGTCTCCAACCACCCGTGGCATCTCCAGCCCCATGCGGCATCTCCAGCCCTTGCAGCATCTCCAAAACCTGCAGCCTCTCCAGCCCCTTCGGCATCTCCAGGCCCACGTGGCATCTCCAGTCCCTGCAACAACTTTGGCAGTTTCTAATGGCCCTTCTCTGTGCAATGTCCCTGTGC